TCCACTTGAGGCACGAAAGCTGCCGCCTAATACTTGTTCCAATATGCAGTGCAGAGAAGTACACTTGAGAATTATGAAAAGGGTCCATTGAGAGGCTAATTTTGAAGCACTTGTACATGAACATTTCCGCTTGATATAACCTACCGTAATCGATCTCTCTCTCTCTCCCTCCACCTCTTTATCAGGCCGGGTTTGTCATGAACAGCAGAAGGAGGAGGGCCAATTTGACGTGGTTTCTTTTCAACGTCCATCTCACTGATCTCTCCAAGAAGTGCCACCCCACCGGTCCTTTCGAGCGCCTCAAGGAGTTTAGAAAATTTTTCCTCAACATAAGCCGACGTGGCTTCTGAAGATAGTGCCGTCGATGTTCAGCCATATTTGTTGGAAGGACTACAGGAACAACGAATCGTGAAACTTGACTGGTGTACGTGGTGCGGGACAATCTGTACTGCCTGCCTCCACCTTATCTCCCCAGTGATTGTGGGAAGCGTCATCGTGTATATGTTTTTATTATTAACGTGATAGCATAATATTTTATTAACGTTCTGCGCTATTACTAGACAAGTTATAAAGCATTCTTTACAGTAGCTGTGAGCTATACCATGCTTCGATGTTTCTTTTTAACCTTTAAGTATGACCTAGCATAAACGCTCTGTGCGTCACTATACAAGTGTAAAGCCTTCCTTTACTGTAGCTGTGGGCTTTACCATGCTTTCGTGTCCCCAAATGTCGTAATAAAATCACGTACTGCGCAGCATCTCTACGGTGTTCTATTGCGAAAACATTATGCACTTACCCGGCAAGATAACGTAAAGTGTAGAAACGCTCACCAGACTTTCCAACGCTTTAACAGATCACTGTTTTACCACCGGTCACCGTACTACTCAGGAGGCCCGTAGCCATGGTAGCACTAGAAACCCATGTATCTCTCCCCCCCCCCCCCCATTTCGATATAGAGGACTGTTAAACCGAGAATAAATAATGAATATAGGTTTATGTCTCAAACAGGCAAGGCCGTCAGCAAGTGCCCCACACACCTTCAGACAAAAAAAAAATCCTGACTTTTGGCCTGCTATGCAACTTATTTCCCTATTACGCCTTTTTTACTACACTTTTCTCTTTTCTACTCGTGGGAAGGTCTTCTAGTGAAAGGATTAGGCGAAGCTACCAAATTTGGGCGAGTACTTATGCGCGTAGATTCTCATGCTCATAAGGAAAAAATCATGTGCTTGGGCACGAACTCTACTGTTTGCAATGTAGTACTCTTTTGTCTGCGGTGGCTGCATTTCAAGGCGGAAATGTTGTAGGTCCGTGTGCTCAGATTTGGGTGCACGTTAAAGAACCCCAGGTGGTCGAAATTTCCAGAGCCCTCCACTACGGCGTCTCTCATAATCATATGGTGGTTTTGGGACGTTAAACCCCACATATCTATCAATCACTACTCTTTTGTCTTTCTTTCATTGCTATGTTGCGTGACTGGACCAACGCCACCTAGAAAATTATCAGGCCTGCTCGCTCCCACTGTGACGTCACTCGTTTTGCCCGAACGAGTGCGCGTACGGGAGGCTGTGAATCCACTGCCACCATCGTCTCCCGGTAAAAATATTAAGCCTTCGCGGCGCGTTTTACTAGTTTAACAGCTTTATCCTGCCTTTTGGATCAAAAAGGTTGCTGGTTTAAGTGAATTATTGCGCTTCAAACCATTTAGAAATTCACGTGTGAGTCATTTTTTTCACGAAAAGGTCAAAGATTGTACGCTATCGAACGTGTGGTCGATCTATAAAAGCAAAATTCGATGAACCAACAAACGGACAAAATAAATAAGGCGAATTTTAATCATTATTTATTCACACACTCGCAAACAAACACACTATGTAGAGCATGCAGAGAATCTGTTCTTACTCAGCTGGAAAGCTTTTGCAGTTTAATTTGTACTCTCTTGAACATCTGTCTTCATAGACACGTAGTTATTGAGGAGAGTTTGTGCTGCTGCCACAAGTATGGTATTCAGCATATTATCAGGGTCATGACCATTGCAACAGAAACACAAAAACAAAGTGTTTCACAAAAACAATGTTGTGATTGACACAAGAAGCAGCGTTTCCTCTTTTGCTTTGGGTACTCTCGCAGTGGTGCGTAGTTGGTGATATATTTTAGGTCTTGAGAAACGTATTAGTACTTGGTCTATAATAAATCATGTAGCCCCCTTGGGCGCTTCTACTTCACTGCCGATTTTTGCTATCGGTATATTTTTGGTAGAAATCATAACTGAAAACCAATTAAGAAGCGTTTTACTGTAAGTGTAGACACTCATCTAAATTTCAAGGAAACAAATTATGCTAAGGTGCTGACCGCAATAAAGTGGTATGAATACCGGAAAGAAAATGCTATATGCACAAAACCGATGCACTAAGTCATTCCTTCCATTTTATCAACCACGTTAATGAAAGTAGCACAGGTCCGTGGCGCTGATCGCCAATAGCAAAATGTTTGCCCACCCTGAAGTAAACACGCCTGTTCTGAGAGCGTACTGTCATGCGGGTTAAATATTTTAATGCCAGGGCTTACGCCAACAAGTCAGAAGCGCACATGACACCTTCATCTTAGAGCAAGAACAGAACATAGTCGAGATTGGGCGGTTGGAACCAATTAGTAATATGTAGTACGGGCACACGTGCCTTCAGGTCACCAAGAAAACGAATCTCGACGTCAGTTTGACGAACGACACACTCCCATTTCGTTCTTCGGTTGTCCTTAGAAAACGAGAACGCTCGCAACTTCGATCCCTTTGCCACGACAATTCGCCACGCAGCATCGCCCAACCGTTCAGACTTGCAGCCGTACAGATTTTGAATATCCAGGGCACAAATCACATCACATATTCACGCAGCAGGTTACGGAATACGGACACAGAAAAAGACGGGCTTCTCATGTCGTCAACAAGCACACCAGCCCTCCGGGAAAACGTTTGTCGGGCTTGCCAATCTGTCTACCGAGCAACGAGATCAAGCTAGGCACGTCTGTGCAGTGAAAACACGCTGGTCACAACGGAGTGATGTCAGAGGCTGAGGCAGACACAGTGATCAGGCGTGAAGTTATCTAAATGGCATTAGACTGGATTCCAAGAGAAGCCAACCACGTGAGAGGGAGACAGAAAATTAGGGGGGAGGGGGGACAGATGAGATTAAGAAAGAAGTTTACGCGTAAGACGCGGCCGCAGAAAGTACAGGACGGGGTTGATTGGAGGAACATGCAGCGCGTATAGTCAGGCTGCTACTGCTGCCGATGCTGCTGGTCGATTCCACGAAAGACCGAAAAACGTGCTATACTTGATATCTCCTGGTTTGCTCGTATTTTTTATATTTTGAGAGTTGAAAAGTTTATTTTAACCAGTTTGCGCAAGAAAATATAAGGATATAAAGTACCCACACAAGAGTTGTTAATGCTGCTCGTGTCAGTGTTGATTCTTGTGCCCTCCTTTTTTTATTTTTGCGTAATCGTTAAGAAATATACTAGTATGCATTTCATTCGAAATGTCGTTTTTGAGGAGAACATTCATACTCTCAGTAAATACCGCACTAATGTTATTTCGCACAATCAGAAAAAGAAAAACAGCGTTATTGTATTTTTGCCGAAAAAATATATCATATACATGGAAGTGAACACACTCTGAAAACGCAATGTTTGAAAATAAAGAAGTTTGTTCCTCATCAAATTGAGCCACATGTTTTTTTTTTCAGAATATAATAACGCAGTTTACCGAGTACAATTCAAAAAACATTGAGCGAAATTGAGAGTGTGTTTTTTATATAGGTTTTCATGTTTAGAGCGACAAAATTCACTCCTTTGAAAACTACTGGACAAATTAAAATGCAGAGAATAATTACTCATTTAAGGTGCTATCAATGCTGGAAGTATGAACAAGCTATAACATTCACAGAAACAGAATCTGGCCCCCAAAAAACGAGCGACTTTTATAAACATGGCGTTTTTCGATAATATTTAGAAATACCTAGGTTGCCCAGAGCTTGATAAAATTATATAAGCTATTTCTTCATTACTTCTAGCTGTGCTAAGCAAAAAGAATTTCTGATATATAGCTTGCGCCACTGTTAGCATGATCGCGAATTCCCGAAAACCCACTTTTCAAAAAATGGCCGTCGTGACCCGGCGATGCTTCTCAATTTTTCCTTGGTTCAAAAAAAATGTTAGTTGAGAAAAAATTGTAATTTCAAGCTGTTAAATCACACGGGCATGGTATAAAACGTACGAGGAAAATAGGAGATATCAAGTATACCACGTTTTTTGATCTTCCGCGGAATCGGCCAGCTGGTGATGATGTTAATAATGCCTAGAGCTGAGACCATTAAAACTACGTACTGAAAGGGTTGAGCGGATAGTAAGGACATTGCGTTACAGAATTGATGGATAAAATATTCACTTGTATTATCAAGAAAACTATTCGAACTAACGAACCCATTGCTTTCACTTGAGAATACTCTGAGTGATTGGATATGTATCTGAATGATGTGCTGTGGTGGATAAGTGGCTAAGGTACTCAGCTGCTAACCCGATGATGGCGGTGGTCACATCCCAGTGGCGGTGGCCACATTTCGGGGGAGGTGAAATGGCTAGCGATGGGATTCTTAAACATGGTTCGATTTTCAATCAAACCAAAAAACTACTAAATTTGTTTGCATCTTTTGTATTTGGTTCGCGGAAAACAGTTCTCGCTCAAAACTAACGCACAACGAGCTATTCAACGCGTTAAAAATGAGACGGGCGTTTCGATCGTAAAGTTTCTTTTATTTCTTAGATTATAACAACGGAAAGCAACCAGCGCTTGCTACTTGTCGTTGCATCCGTCTAACGAAACGAACGACTTAGCAAATATAAGATCGCTCAGCGCGTTTTGCTTGCCGTTGCTTCCATCTACCGAAACAAAAAAATTATCCTACTCAAAACGAAGTCCAACGCCGTAGTAACTGAGAGAAAGAGACTTAAAAAATCAAGTGATTTCCCACAGAAACGGCGAATCGCAGACAGATAAGCCACACGTGCTGTGCAGCCCTGTGCTGGGAGAAGGCGACTATTATGGTGATTGCCTCTTCCATGAAGACTTGCTTGTACACTGACGCCATTTGCACGGCTACGTTGGCGATTGATTCAAGTGTGTTCAAATAGTCCCTCTTGCGCACGGTGCCCAACCCTTCGGAACACATTTCGATGTCTTGCGTCATGTATCTGGACAGGAAAAGCTGGGCAACCGCCTTCTCTAGCATCCTGGCAAAGTCGACTAGCCTGGAGTCGTTGTCCAGCTTGGTACTGCGTAGCATCCCTTTCGTCCAGCTGAACATGGCGGCCATCGAGTTCATGGACATCTCCAGACTAGTCATGTAGCAGCGGAAGTGCTTCGTAATGGTGCGTTCGGCGACGTTTGCAAACATGGTTGGATCGTCGGGGAAGAGGCCGCTGATCATCAGGTCGAACAAGCTGAAACCCTGAGCCACGAACCAGGACTGGATTTCGCTGTAGTACGTCTTGCAGACCAACACGAAGCCGTGTTCCGTGTGCAATGACCTGGGTAGCAGGATAAGTTGTTGGTAAGTCCTATAGAAACTTAAGATATTCACTCTTCACAAATTATTGCATACACGTCTGCGTGAAGCAACAGGAGTTGATGAAGGCCTGGCTTTTTTTTACCAGACACCACCCAATGAGACTAACAGACAATGAAGCATTAACGTGAAGAAATTGAAGTGGATGAACGGACAAGTTGCTGACGGTAGGAACCAAACCTAGAACCTTCGGATAACGTCTCTGTTATTCTACAAATTCAGCTAAAGCGTCGGGCGTGTTCCTGTCCTGCCACCCACCTTTCAAAAATATGCGATCTCGAGTATCAGGCCAGCACAGTTCTTTGAAGAGAGCAAGCTTGTGCCACTTGTATGCAACAAAATCCCAGCACCAGATGACCAACAGTGGACAAGAGGTGGCATCTCGTTGGCCAGGTTGCGCTACAAAACGTGTGATCGATGTAAAAACATCAATACCGTTTACTTGACTACCCTGCCAGCACGCACTATAGCGAAGCGATTAATGAGCTAGTGCTGAAAAAATTCGGCAGATCCCACGTGCCTGAGAATCGACGTTATGGGAAGCATGCAAAGGGAAGGTGACCGTGTTGCAATTTTTTATTGAGCAACACGTCATGAAATGTCGTTAAATATATGTACAAATGTTTCACGCACAGACATATGTTGAAGAGTTGCAGATGTTTATATAACCAATTGTTTGCACTTGCGCAACGATGTTATATGTAACATGCGTATTAGCAATACCAGAAGCTGGTATGAAGCGCTGATGCTCGCGAGGATGCTGGCCCTGGACATTGCTACATAAACAAGCTTCAGGGCATGGCAACTAATCACGATTGGCATCAACCCGACGCGACGGCTGTATCAAAGGAGTACATATGTAATGTTTATAAAATAGGCACCACTGCAACCACTATGGACGTTTCACGAAGATTAGTATCTATTTGAAAAGTAGTTCCGAGACCTGGCGTAGCTGTGTGCTAAAATGCTCAATGCCACGCAGAATGCTTAGGTTCGATTCCAGCTGGGACCCTGACAATTATTCTATGCATTCGTCAGGTCGACGCTACTGATGTCGGGTATTAACGCTCGTGCGTTGAAATTTCCCATGTGTGTTGTCGTCGTTCCTGGGTGGATACTAAGTGTCAATCACCTGTGGCACATACCCACATACCAGCGGCACATACCCGGCCATGAGTATGTGCCACGGTCAGGCGGTATGTGTTGACGACGTACGCACGTGATGGGATTGTGACCAGCGCATCATATTCGCCAAACCACCTTAACCTCCCAAACCCATTTTGGTTCACGACAAGTTGAGGGGGTGACCACGAGAGCCCCCAAACGTAAGTGGCTGGATAGATAGATAGATAGATAGATAGATAGATAGATAGATAGATAGATAGATAGATAGATAGATAGATAGATAGATAGATAGATAGATAGATAGATACGCTCAAAGTCACCGAAGTTCACTAAGAAATGCTTCGCATTTAAAAGTAGTGTTGTATACATTACTGAAAAAAACGTAACCAGACAGGTTACTTGCTACGCTAACAATAAACATTCGCGTTACCATCCTACGTTGCCTGCAGGAAAGACAACGGGTTACCGTTACCAAAACAAAAATAACGTACGTCTTCTTCGAATATACTCCTTGATTGATATGGGGGGGGGGGGGGTTAACGTCCCGAAATGATTATGAGAGACGCCGTAGTGGAGGGCTCCAGAAATTTCGACCACCTGAGCTTCTTAATCGATTATAATTCAAGATCAGAAGTTTGAAATAATGCGCCCCACTGCGGGAGCTAGAATATCGTTTTAATAAACCTCGTATTTTTATTTGGCAAGTCATAAAGCATTCGTTAAACATGGTTCTAGTACCATAAATAATCTTGCTAAGATGAACGTAAACCCCAGTCTTTGTCTCACTAGGCATGAAGAATTACCTGTGGATTTTACCTATTCCTAAAAGTGTATAGGATGAACATTGTCTTACAGGCTATTTTACGTATTGACCATCTTAAACCATGAAGACTTTCATACTTCGTACTTTCTTCTGCCATTGAGAGCTTCCGATGAATCTATTTATATATTTCAAGAAACTTCGCTAGAATTGGCTGTCTTGCGAATTTTTTATAATTCTTATACTGCATGGTATCTTTTACTGTGATGTCTCTGTGTGCCAGTGTATAGTTTTGGTCGTGATGATTTGTGACACTTCATTATAATATTATGTTCATAATTCCTTAAGATTGATGCCCAACTAGAGCGCTGTAGATATATGTAATTTTAAGTAATCAAAATTGTCACATTAGATGCTTCGCCCAGCTTATTCACTTTCCCGAATAGTACATCTCCCGGAATTTCGGTCACTCTACTTATTGATTTTTGCTTTTCATGTTCACGCCAAGTCATGATACATATGTATTCCCTCGCTCTCTATTTGTAGATCTTTGTTTCATAACTTTTGCATTCGTACTTGGTGTCATTTTATACTTGTAAAGTTTATTTTTTATTCTACATGTATAAATGTCTGTCGTGTATTGCTGCTTTGCTAACTTATGACTGGGTCGGTACTTTGTCAATCCCTCGAGCTTTTAGTCCCGTGCTTCCCGACCTATTGATAGAAACGAAATGAAGTCTGTGACCAAAACAACTATAGCTAATTTAGGTGTATTAAACTAGCAAATTTTGCACAAGTTGCCGGACGTATAACACAGTGGCCTAATGTGCACCGGAGAGTTGCATGTGAAGGCTTATAACATCGTGGCGCGTGTTAAATCCATTTTTCATTGTCACAGAAAGCCGAAATATTATTTAACCGGCAACCCTCTCTGAAAATATATGATCACTGACCTCAAAAAAAAAAAACCTACAGTAATTCTGGCAGCTTGCATCTGCTAGGCGGATCATAGTCGCAAGTACTTGCAGTGTAAAATATTTGCAGTGTAAATACTTTTTGCCCCTTTAACCTTTACAAAGCCCGCAAGAATTGGAACTGTTTATGAAACGTGAGCCTTGCTTTTCCACGTACTACAAACTATCAGCAGAAGCAATTTTATTTTGGAAACATAACTGATAAATAGTGCTACCGTGTTGCAGGAACGACTTGCTGACAACTACAACTCACACAATTTACGCAGCAGCTGTATTTCTACATGTATAACGAGTGCGTCAAATACTAATTGCCGAAGTAACGTGCTATACCAGTCACGGTGTTACTTATAACGCGTAACCACCAACACTGGAAACAAGGTGGGCGTTCTTGCACTCATCACGATTATTACAAAGTACCAGATTTCTCACAGCGTAGCTTGCCACATATATAGAGGGCGAGCATCCACCGCTCAGCGGTGTACAATTCATGGGCGACAGACACTGCTAGTGCATCAGATGGAAGTCTTTCCTCATTTTATTCCATCTCATGCAGCAGTTTTTCTACAGACAGAGAGACTCCTCCACTAAGTGATCCGCGTTGCCACCCTTGGGTCTCTTCAAGAGGCTGAGCTAAAGCATTAAGTTTTGCGGACAAGCATAATGCAGCGACGCTAGATCTACCTTTTTGTCGTTGACACCTTCAGGCAATTCAGAGACAACCAGCGCAATCATCGATTGACGAAGTACTTGTAAAGCAGCTACCGCCTGTGAAAAAAAAAGCAGTGCACCCGAGGAAAATTCTGCGAATTGCACCGCTCACTACCCATGCCGCTGCCATCAGCGCCCTAGTGGCATCGGCGCACCGAAGAGCCTTCTCCGGCAAGCGAAAAGCGCCGCGCTCATCACACCTCCCCATTCTAGCCACCCTAGTTCCACGGCAGTGGTCATGCTGCTCTCAGTGGTGCACTCAATACTTTCATGCGTGCAACACCGCCAAATAGCACGAAACGCAATCACCCAGTCATGCGGCACGAAGGAATATGCCTCCACACATTGACAACACTAGGTCAGCAACAATGTATAAGACTTTGAGAAAAAGACGAGAAGAGTGGAACGTGTGACACGAGTGAGTAAGAACACAAATCTCAGCACAGCTAGGCTTACTACAGGGGTGCTTTCTCGTTGAAATGTAAAATTTTATAAAAAATACTCATTTTCATAGAGACCCCAATGTTATAATGTGCTGGCACGTTCCTAGACATCCGTATACCTATGTGTGCATACATTTCTAACTAGAACACGTAATGGTGTTCTACAAACTATTGTTAGTGAGACGTACGTGTAGAAGAAAACATCACGCGGAGATACAGAGGTTTAGGCACAATCTACAACCCTCATTGTAGTTACTTACGCCCTTTCTTCACCTAGTGGCTTGTTTCCTTGCTTGAGCAAATATATAACATGAAGTGCGAAGGCATTTTCTTGAAACAAAAGAAAATGACTCAACTAAAAAAACTGGCATTGTTCTGAACTATTCTTGTGCCTCTCGCTTTTCACAAGATCCAAAGTGTAACATCAAGTGTGACAAGCGTCCACAAAATATACTTGACAAACATGTGTAATGAATACGCCATAAGTATCTGTCCGTTCTGTAACAATATCTTCTTGTAAACAAAGCGTCTATAGTATTAGCTTTTCAATAACCTACCCATCGGAGGCTCGTGGTTTTTTGGAGTCACGCCTCGACTTTTCTCTGACACAGCTTATCACTCATCCCATTCGGTCTTCGACTACATCAGCCAACATTTTAGATCTTATTCTAACCGATGGTCCTGACGTATGCTCTGACCTAACTCATCAAAATGTGCTTTCTTATCATGACATCATAACAGGCACTTTAACAGTTTTCTTTCCAAGGCGTCACTGTTTAGATAAATACATGCGATGCTATAACAGAGCCTGATTTCAACAGCATAAACTTCGAAATTTATGCGTTTACTTTAGCTTTCCTTAAAAATTACAAAGCTCAAACTGTTGAACGTAACTGGTTAATGATTAAAACCACTTTTACCAACCTGATCAATCGTTTCATTCCACTAACAAAAATAGCCTGCTCTTCAACATTACCTTGGTTTACCTCAAAGCTTCGGCGCCTCGTTCAACCGACAAAGACCAGCCTCTTCGATTCCTGGCATCGTTACAAGTTCTGTAATGGGCAATATCGGTCGCTCTTGAAATCATCAAAACGACATTTCTTCGCTCATGACTTTCTTCGCTCATGACTCCATGCTCACCTACAATCGACAACGCTTCTGGCGTGTAGTAAATCCTGAGAGCTTCCCTGACATAATGCTTGTTCACGAGCCCGGCGATATGGTTTATGGCTCAGAATGTGCGGATCTATTGAATAACGCCTTCTCATCCGTATTTACAAATGAAGACACCACATTATCACTCTCCGTTGTCCACCTCACCGACCTATCTATGCCTGAAATAGCCATTAGTGAGGCAGGAATTTCTTTCTCTTCTAAATAACCTTAAAACTTCTTCAGCATCCGATTACAATGGCATTATTAATAAACTGTTGAAAATTTTGTCTCCTAGCTTATCAACATTATTGTACGCACTCTTCTGACAGTCTCTATCTACTAACACTATTCCAAGCGACTGGAAGGTAGATAAAGTAATACCAATATTTAGTCTGCAGAACGGACTCATCTATTAAATTATCAACCCATTTCTCTAATCAGTACCAATTGCAAGTTACTTGAACATGTCATCTACACTGAAATCATTAACGATACAGTAGATTACAACATCATTTCTAGTACTAACTTGGCTTCCGTTGAGGTTATTCATGCGAAACGCAGTTAGCCAGCTTTTTACATCATTCATGTTTACACTAAGGACGTCAAGTTGATGCCATATTTCTTCACTTTTCAAAAGCTTTCGATCGCGTCCCTCAACATAGACTAATAATAAACTAACACCCTAATATAGATTCAATCGTTATTGGATGGATTAGAAATTTTCTCTCATCCAGATCACAATACACGTCTGTTAACAACAGCACCTTGTCATCCACTAGCGTAACCTCCGGTGTTTTGCAGCGCAGTGTTCTTGGCCCTTTACTTTTCTTGATCTATATTAAAGACTTGCCTAACTGCGCGTGCTCTCACAGCAGACTTGTCGCAGATGACTGTGTAATTGATAGAATATTTTTATGTAACGATGATGAACACATTCTTCAAGCTGATCTTAATGCAATAAACACGTGGTGTTCTAACTTGATTGATTTGATTGATATGTGGGGTT